GTCGTTTGGACCGCAGTGCATTTTTTGCGGGCGGCCATTGCTTCAAGCTGTTGTACGAGGACAAATTGTCGCAGGAAACTCTCCGTGAAATGGCTATGCCTCTGAGCAGAGATCATGGAAAAACTTCACTGTATACTACTTTAGATAGGCAATCCAGGCTAATACCGCCGGCGTTCGGCGGAGTCCCTCACAGGAGGCGGAGTGGAACAAATGCATTGAAATTTCGACACTACCTTACTTTACCCTACCGTGTACTGAAAGTAATTTTCCAGGCCTGGGAGTGACATGAGCTCAGCGAACGTAGAGGGAACGAACTCCGTCCCGGAGTTCGTTTCCCCCGCTTCGGACAATTTGAGAGCTGCGCTACCTCCTTGCGCCAACCCTGCTGCGTTAATAGTCTGCTCGCCTCTGAGAGACTGTGCTGGGCCGATCTGCAGTGCAACCCAGTTGCAAAATTGGTCATAACCTGCACCACCCAACGCAGGACTTTCGCCGTGTCTTGCGCCTAATTTTGTTAGTGCCAGTTCTAAGATCTCCAGGCCTTGCTTTTCGGTGCTTCTAGTATTCGCAAAAACGCCACCTGACATCTTTTTCAGTAGCGCAATCCCCAGGTCACATATGTCCTCAAGATTTGTCGTTTTGTTGAGGATACGTTGAGCTATCAACGTTACTATTGCAGCACAGCAAGAGGTGAACTCGGTATACGAGGATTTTGAAAGCCCGTACTCATCGTCGAGCTTTTGACAGAGCTGAATGGATGATATGGCACTTGAGATGCACTGCTCAATGAGAGTCTTACGGGTCATCACCCATTCATGAACACACAGTTCGTCGGCACTGAAGTCGTCAAATATAAAGGAGCGTCCCATAAAGATATGTACCAGGTGGTATGTCAGTGCAAGGTGTATGTTTGATCGAAAAAGCGGTCGCGCTGGTGTGAAGTCTCTGCAGAAGGTCCGGGATGGGAGATTATCCCACCATGTTTCCAACATATGGTGTACTTTGAGAGCATCATTGGCCACCTGCTTGAGTTTTGGCTTGTCGGCTCTTCTTAGAGTTAAGCTGAAAAGGTCAGCTTTATACCATCATCTGAATTGCGTTAAGACTAGAACGAACATAGTGTCACGAGCAATTTCCATGATTTCGGTAAGGTCTTTTTGAGCCATGGCATTGTGGAACGTGTTGGGCCTTTCTGATGGTTGTAGATCAATGGAATCGACTGGGAGCTCGGTTCCTATCTGTGATCTCTGAATTGATGCTGGCCGTCCATGCAGTATAGAAACACGTCTATGGATCTTTAGATGAGTTGTCTGAGTGGATAAAGCTTGGCCTCTCACCCCAGTTTGAATCGCAGCAGGGAATCGCGAATTGTCTCAAGGGAAGCTTTGCTCACCTTTCTAGGGTATATACTGTCCACCAAATGCGATTGCTCATCTCCGTGCGTCGTGTTTTGTGCGAGCTCTCCAAGTGCATATTATTATGTATTGCTATTTTCATAGCCATACCATAATAGCTACTTGCCAACCCTGCAGGATCCAATGGGAGCGTGTAAACGCCCATTAGAATGAATGCCTGAACGCATTGTGTGCTCCCGATAGTCAATAGATCAGGTATCATGGACGTCGCTTTTCGATAGAAAGACAATGCTAAAGCATCATCCACCGCTGAAGCAACATCCAGTTGCGCCTTAGGTAACTGCCGCCCTTTCACCTGAGGTGCCAAGTGTGCGAACTGGGTACTGACACAAAACACCATGAGTGCAGTACAAACCCATGGAACATCATCAGTGGAGAGAGGTGCAGAGATGCCTGCATACATGTTAGATATTCGAGCCCGGATGTCAATTTCGTCTACATAGAAGTAATTTGTTTGGGACACATTGAAGAAGACGTTTAGTAATATGGCTGCAACATCGGCAGGCGGAAATGAGGAAATTGCGTCTTGTACGGCGGATGGCCATGATAGCAATTGTTCAGCTGTAGCAACATTGGTTGCCTGGTCCTGTGTCAGGAGCGAGGCAGGTCAGTCAGAGACTTGAGAGACGACGAGGGAGATTGCGACAGCTCAAGGTAATCGTACATTGTGAGATGTTTCAAGGCCGGGCCCTAACTTTTCCTGGATCTGGCGAGTGAAGTGCGAGTGAGAAAAGTCTTCATATGCTAAGTGGCAATTAAGTGAAATAGTCCAGTCAGTCCAAACAACGCTACATACCTGGAACGGCAGTCGAGTCGTATGACTCTTTGCCTGTGAGTGTCTCTTCTGCTGCCTCTTGATCATCTAAAGTCTCTAGATCATGTGATCGAGCCGAGCTCTCCTCGCCAGCTTTGAGGGCACCCAACGATTGTGCAAGCTTTCTCCGGCAGAAATCTTTTATGCCCGTGAAATGTTGGACAATAGCTTCCAGGTTACGAATCCTGTCAATGTCGAAGAACTCTTTGGGATCTATCGCAGCCGCTGGCAGCTGCGATGCGGGTCGGCGTCTTGATCGCCTATAGGCATTGGTAAAAAGGCATTTGCGCTTGGACTTAACACATCGGTCACAAGGGGTTCCACCGTTGCACTTTTCCTTCAGGCGCCGGCAATTGTCGCATCTGTGAAGCGTATAAGCTCGAGCTGGCCCAACAAGAAAATGCAGGAACTGGATACAGACGCTGGCGTAGGCCTTCTCCTGGTCATAGACGCGACAGGTAAATCGTTAAACGCGGACTTTTGGGGTGTTGGAGATTGGCGTTCTGGAACGACCGGGCTTGGCTCTACGGGTCCTGACATTGCGGACTGCGAAGTAAGTCAACAGTATCGGCCAGATCGCGACATAGCATCCACGGCATCTACATGCGAATGGCCATGGAGGAGGAAATCGGACACGGACTCGTTGTTCAATTGAAGTTGCCGGTCTTTCGACCGGAATTAACGCGGAAAATATCAGCCGCCGTGAGGGGAAGTACCTGCGGTGCCGGCGCGTGCCGGTGTGCCGGTGTGCCGGTGCGCCGGTATGGCGATCGCTTGATAACAAGAAGAAACGTGATGAATGAGTGATAAGCTCTTCATTTGTGGAGCTTGCGTGGACTCATCTCCAAGGTGTTTGCTTTACCTCGGATGAAGATCACGACAATACTAACATGTTCCCGCGAATCTGTCAATTCATTCAAGTCATCCGCGCTCGGTGGTTAGCACAGGTATGTCAAAACCTCCCCTTAATACCAGAGAGTAGGGATTTTCCGCTGTAAGGCTGGGAGTTCAGAGTCTAGGTAATAGTAGGGTGAAGTAAGTACCTACCTAAGCTTACCCCGTTGAAAATAATCACATCTCAATGCCGTGGGGTTGACCCCCAGGAAGCATGTGCCGGGCGTGTGCCGGTTTTGATGTATCCCCGATTTCGTGGTGGGGCTATATAGAGCATGTTTTCTCAGATTCCCTCGATTCATAACCCTCTACTACAACCAGGGATCGCTTAGTTCCGGTCGAGGTTGCTACTTATACAGCCAAAGCCTTCATCAGAAACGGGAGCTAAGGTAGAACAAGATACTATACGAGCCCCCTGTTCACCACCAACACCCAACATTCTACTTAAGATATACCGCCTGATGTCTTCGTGCAGTAAACACGTTGTGTTCGACATTGTCGGCACATGTGTGTCGTACGATGCCATGTTCAACGCCCTCGATCGACGGCTAGGCGATAAACTGCGTGCTCAAGGCATCAAGCCTCGGCTACTAGGCTACCTCTGGATCGAAGTCACCGAGCGGGAGTATACCTACTTGAGTATGAATGGGCGATATGTCACATTCCGTGATGTCTTCAGCAGCATCTATTATCGAATGCTGTACATGGCTGGCGTGCAAGATCCTCACGAATTCTCTAACGATGAGGATCTGAATTACATTCTTCAGGAATATATGAAGTTGGAAGCACGTCCTGGAATTGCCGAATGCTTTCAGATTTTGAGAGACAACGGTTTCACCGTCTGGGCTCTGACAGCCGGCGATGTAGAGCGTGTGGGGGGCTATTTCAAACACAACGGAATACATATGCCCGAAGAAAACTTCATCTCTTGCGATGGCTTCAAGATTGGCAAGCCCGATCCACGCGTGTATAAGCTCATGCTGGATCGTCTCGGCGATGACGAGAAATGGTTTGCGGCTGCACACAATTGGGATGTCACTGCAGCCCAGTTGGCAGGGTCAGTCACATTCAATTCAATCAAGTACTCATAGTACTAATGTGCTAAATCATATCTAATCTACAGTTTCAAGGCAGCTTACTGCACCATTTGGGAGAAAGAGCTGTGTGAAGGACTCTTCGGCAAAATGGATATCACAGCACATACGTTTCCCGACATGGCGCGTCAGATTGTGACTGCTTCTGCATAGTAGTGGTCCTGGAACGGGATAGTTACAAAAAGAAGCCTGAAGAGGTTACCTAATATCGTCTTGCTATACTAGAATGAGAAATAAGAAGTGAACACTTGAAAGTCCTGGTTGGAGGTTCTCGAGCAGGAATTCGACAAGACGCGATCTCAAATGCGCAAGTCCAATACAGTGACTTCATTCCTAATTCTTGGCTTTCCTCGAGATAGAGTGCCATGTTCAAGCTTAGCGCGCCGTATGGGCGGATTGCTAGCCGGCACGTCAAAATACACCTCGGACCGGCTATGAAGAGGGTTGATAATTTTCCCCACCGCCTTTCTGTACTGCAGGCTTATCTCGAGAACGTCGGGCATACCCTGGACAGAGCGGATCCCCCTCACCCCGGGCTTATCTACTGTCATCTCTATCCTCCGCATTCCCCCAATTCGGAGACAGGTTTCTAATCTCTATAAAGCTGCATCGCAGGTCCCAGTCCTCCCTCCGGAGTAGACTGAGTTGGATTAATAAGCTTGGACAGTTTGAGTCTTTCATCAGAAGGACATTTTGATTTCAAAATCATCAACTCGGCATTAGTCACCCACATCCGGTCCCTCTCGAGACTATTCATTGCCCTTTTGTGATCTTGACTTCACAATGGACCGAACAATGCCTAAGGATTTGGTTCCCAAGCCTCAAGATCTCGCATCCAACTACAGCATCAAAAATGGCCACGCTATTGCCAATGAGCTTACCTTGAAGGATGCGGAAATTGTTGCAGCGCTGCAATGCTATGTCCCAGGAACCGCAGAGGAAAAGCGACTTGTCAGAAAGGCTGACATGGTCTTGCTGCCACTTCTGTGGTGGATGTACATTCTGGCATACCTTGACCGAGGCAACATCGTACGTCATAATCGATCTCCCATGAATACTTGTTCATGAGTTTCAAGCCAACTGACCTGCTTAGGCCAACGCCAATGCCGCCGGACTGAGCGAGGACCTCGGGCTTAGTGACAACCGTTAGTCATTGACCTTACGATCCGCGACTGAAATCACAATACTAACCAAGAATTTTGTTGTGTTTTCCAGATTATTCACTCCTCGTATCTCTTTTTTTTGTTGCCTATGTTCTGTTCGAGGTACCCTCAAACATGCTGCTAATGAAGATCAAGCCTTCAATCTACCTCCCCACGATTTGTGTGGTGTGGGGCAGCGTCATTATTGGAATGTCTCAAAGTAGAAGCTCGTCTGCGTTTCTCGCAGGCCGATTCTTTCTAGGCGCTATCGAAGCTGGCTTGTTCCCTGGTGCACTTTTCCTTCTTACTTGCTGGTACACGAAGAAAGAAGTTGGTAAGTATTTCGAGAACGAATCCGCCGTAATTATGCTATTTTCCATATAACTCATACGTTTGGATCTACCTAGGCAAACGCTTCTGTATCTTCTACACATCAGGTTGTGTTGCACCTGCCCTTGGTGGAATAATGGCTGGAGCGGTCATAGCGCGACTAGAGGGAGCCCGCGGGATCTCAGGCTGGCGATGGCTCCTCCTGATCGAAGGCGTCGTGACGGTCGCCTGCGGGTTCGGCCTGTATTTTGTGCTTCCCGACTATCCTAGAAACTCCAAATTGCTGACCCCCGAGCAACGGCTCCTTGGACATGTCCGAATTCTTCACGACCAAAGTTCATCTACACAAGCCGAAGACGACGGCATGACGCCAATCCAGGCCTTTGCAGCAGTCCTGAGAGACGGTCGAACTTGGCTATTTCTAGTTCTATACGCCTGCAATATTCTGGGGTTGACAATATCATATTTCATTCCTACAATGTTGAAGGGACTTGGGTATACCAGTATCACCGCTCAATGGATGACAGTTCCAATTTGGGCGTGCGGCGCTGTCTTCCAGCTCTTCTGGTCATGGACTTCAGACAGGTACCAAGACCGCAGATGGCACATTACTGGGTTGCTCTCCGTTTCTGCATTATCATGCCTCGTCGCCATCGTCGTTCGTAACAACATTGTCAAGTACGTCATGATGTGCTTTCTCATTGGCGGCATGTTCACGACTGTACCACTGATTCTTAACTGGACGAGCGAGATCATGGCCAAGCCAGAACGGAAGCGATCTATTGCCATCGCGTTTGTTAATTCCTTTGGCCATACTAGCTATATTTACGGGAGTTACTTATGGCCTACGTCGGAAGGCCCGCGAAATCTTAAAGGGTTTGCAGCCTCCAACGCTGTTCTCGGTACTGCGGCTGTCCTTGCTGCAGCGCTTCCTGTCATCTTCAAGTACATGCGCACGAAGGATACTCATCCAGTTAAATAACTACACTATTAAACCTAAACAATGCCTAAGTATATTACAATAATATTTCTTAGTATTCTTCAAAATAATAGATGACTGGATAAAGAGGCTAGTATGTGTCCTAAACTCGACCGAAACTTTTAGCCTACTAAAATAGGGGGGTCTAGTTTCGGAGGTTATGAATAACATCGACCTCGAATAGAGTAAATTCTCGATTAGAAAACAAACAATTACGTTGACCCTGTTCGGATTTCGGAGGCTGTAGGCCCGCGTACTCTCTCTAGGAATCACGATCTACGACGTCGAGCACGAGACTGAGAAGCTGTGGAAGAGATTTTGCCTTTACCAAGTCCCTACAAAGGACAATGGAGCGAGGATTTTGTGGCGGGGCTGGTTGTGGCGGGAGGGGGATCATGGATGAGATCGGCACCTACGCAACAGATCACAATGTACGACCAGAACCAAGTCGATTCCGCTTGTAAATGCATTTAGGTGCATCACAGGACAACTTTGACTCGGATTCTGAGTCATAGCATCATTATAGGCTTGACAGTATTCATGATTTGGCAAGACCATTGTTTGGTAAGAAAATTTAATACTAACAACCAAGGCATCATGCTTGAGCCGTCCACCTCAAACCCTGGAAATGGCTCCATGTCACGAGCGATCATTCGGGTCGAAGAGCTCTGACAATCGGATTCTGAAGTGATGCGTCAGCCCGATCTCGGTTATCTCTTTCATTTCCTCCTCTGACAGCTGTAGGTCCAGGGAATGGAAATAGTTCTGGATCCTTTCCGGCTTGGCAGTTGTCGAGATGGAGATGACATCTTGGTTCAGATGCCATCGGATGAGCACCGCACTTGGATCGACATTGTACTTTGCAGCAATCCTGGCCAGTGGCTCGTCCAGCGGTCCGCCCTTTGCGTGAGTAAGAGGAGCAAGGCCGAAAAAGCTCTGGACGGTGATTCCCTGCTCCTGCAGCCAAGGGACGTACCCACCGGCTCTCTATAAGTAAGGATGGAATTCGATCTCGTTCACGATTGGTTTGATCTCAGCGACCTCTAGGATAGCCTCAATATAAGAGCGCAAGAAGCTCGAGACACCAATTGCTTTAGTCTTTCCGGATCACTACACCTTCTCTATCTCTTTCTAAGCATCCTAATATATATAATTCTTAAGATCTCAACTAGTTCTAGTTAAAGCGCGGGCTTTTCTTAATTATATATTCAAACTATTAATACAGGCCCAAAGGGTTAGGCTTAAAAGAATTTTTTAATTTTATAAATCTCAAATACGTACCTAGCTAGCCTTTTACTTGCTAGTAATAAGTAAAAGAATTATTTAATTTTTTTTTTTAAATTTATAAATCTTAAATACGTACCTAGCTAGCCTTTTACTTATTAATAGCGAACAAAAAAATTATTTAATTTTTTTTTTTAAATTTATAAATTTTAAATACGTACCTAGCTAGCTTTTTATTTACTAATAGCGAGCAAAAATTATTTAATTTTTTTAAATTTATAAATCTTAAATACGTACCTAGCTAACCTTTTACTTACTAATAATAAATAAAAGAATTATTTAATTTTTTTAAATTTATAAATTTTAAATACGTACTTAGCTAGCCTTTTACTTATTAATAATAAATAAAGAATTATTTAAATTTTTTTAAATTTATAAATCTTAAATACGTACTTAACTAGCCTTTTACTTATTAATGAGCAAAAAATTATTTAATTTTTTTAAATCTATAAATTTTAAATACGTACCTAGCTAGCTTTTTATTTACTAGTAATAAGTAAAAGAATTATTTAATTTTTTTAAATTTATAAATCTTAAATACGTACTAGCTAGCCTTTTACTTACTAGTAGTAAGCAAAAGAATTATTTAATTTTTTTAAATTTATAAATCTTAAATATATACCTAACTAGCCTTTTACTTACTAATAGCGAGCGAAAAATTATTTAATTTTTTTTTAAATTATAAATTTTAAATACGTACTTAGTTAGTTTTTACTTACTAGTAATAAGTAAAGAATAATTAACCCCATACTCTATTTAATTTTAATTATATTTCTTACTTTAATCCCTTTAATAAACGAAAGTAATAATAAATTTATTATTTTTTGTTTTAATTTTCTTTTTTAAATTTATTATAGAGCCTTTTGTTACGGCCAGCTAGTCGTAGTGAGTATGTTAGCAGAAGTTGAGGCTGCGATAACTAAGTAAACAGTGTCGTAGTCGTGGATAGCTTCCCTGAAGCTATGTCTGTAAATCGTAAGGTGGGTAAGGCTTCGGTGATCAATCGTAGTCTTGTCAGAAGGGTTCTCAGTGAAGATAGCTGAAAGCGATCGTAAGAGCTGAAAGCGATCGTAAGATCTGATACTAAGTTGATTGCTGAAGAAGCTATGGAAGTCTGTCCTTGTGCCCGGCTCAAGTCCACACTATATACAAGTCTCGTTCCTGAACATATTCTTTGTCCGTATGTTTACCCAACGGTTCCCGTGTTCTGAACATACGGGTTCCGTATCGTGAAAGGACGGACCCCGTATCTCGAACGTACGGAGTTCCTTATCTCTTATCGTCACGTGACTTGTCCCATAGTTCTTCCGTCCCGAGAGGAGTCGCCCTGAGTTCGTGTTCCCGCATATATGGTGTGGTAGCCGCCGTAGGTCCTGTGGGGCAGGCCCTGGCCTTGTCATGCGTGTTGGGTCGTAACACCTTTATTATCTCTAGGTTCTTATTTATTAAAATCCTATTTATAATACTAATCTTTATTATATTATATAGATCTTATATAAATAATACCCTAATATCCATTATTTGCGTCAATAGCCTACTAACGATTAATTTTATATAGGAAAAATTTTAGTACTAATAGGATATAGGGGTTACGATAATTAGGATTAATATTTAGCGATAATTAATAGTTTAGGCGCTATACGTATTACAATAAGTTTAAAATAGGTAAGCTTATTATAAAATTAATTATAAGTTAATTAATATTAATAATACTATATTTAATTATAAATACGGTTACTCTAAAACTAGTTTATTTTTAACTAGTTTTTAATAATCGTTAAATAACGGTATATATAAGTATAGATTAGTACGTTATAACTAATTAGGTTATTATTTTAACTTATATATTTAATAATATTTATAATAATATGTTTTATTTAACGGTATTTAATTTAATCTATTTTAAAAAATAAAGAAAATAAAAAAGTATTATAATTATATAATAAGTAAGTAGCTTAGGAAATTTAAGTACGATATTACTAATTTTAAGTATATTTATAATAAAATACTTTATATACGAACTAGAACTATGGCTTTTTATTATTATATATATTAAATAGGGTTATATAAAAATAAATTAAGGTATATTTTTGTAATAGGCCGTATATTCTTAGTTTTAAATAATTAGAAAAGTAGAAGCGTAAGTATTAGTTTATAATATTTTTATAATTAATAAGAAGTTTATAATAGTCTACTACTTAAGTTAAATAACGTACTAACTATTATAAGGTTAGGTCCGCTAAGTATAAATAGTTTTTAATACGAGTTCGTAACTAAAAATTATACGTTACTACTAAACTATTAATATATAAAAGAAATTAATAATAAGTCTAAGAATATTTTAGGGTTAAGTATAGCTAGGATTTAAGATTTAAAAATAGACGTTACTTTATTATTATAGCAAAAGAAGAACAAAGTACTAGTTTATAAAAATAGGCGTTTATTATTAATAATTATTTATAAGTAAACTTAGAAACGAGCTATTTAAAATAATAAGGGAGTTATATTTAGAACGAACGAGGGTATAAAAAATAACACTAATATCTAACTTTAGTAAGCTATTAAAATATTTTAAATTAAGGGTAACAATATTTAAAATTAAAAAGCGGAGTATATTAACAAAGAGGACGATATTAATATACCTAACCCATAGCTTTATTAACTTAGTTCCGCTCTTTATTTAAAAGCGTTTAATAAAAAAAGATTTTTAAAAAGCTTAATTACTATAAAATACGATATTAACCTCGATAACCTAGATTAGTTAAATAATACCTAATTATAATTCGTATATATAATATTTAATTAGTTAGTTAGCTATATTAAAGCTATTATTACCCTTAGCATAATTATTTAAAACACTCTATTTAAAATAAACCGTATAAAATTATTAAAAAAATAAAGCCGTTCTATTTCTAATTTAAACCCGAGATATAAAGGAAGTACGTACTCATAACTAAGTAATTACTTACTTATATTATGCGCTATATATTTCTTAGGTTATGGTTCCTTAGGTTAGGTTAGGGTTAGGTTAGGAAGAAGAGGTTAGGTTAGTTAGGTTAGGTTAGGTTAGG